TTTGGGAAGATTGGAGAAACTTAATTTTTCGCCCAAAAAAAAAACGTAAGGGGTACCACTGTCGTTTTTTTTTCGGGCCGAATTTTTGAGTTTCGATATCTCAGCTCTGGAAGGGGCTAGAGCCTCCATTTTTGCACTCAGGTCTAAGTCTCATGGCCCTCTATCAGAATTTGGGAAGATTGGAGAAACTTAATTTTTCGCCCAAAAAAAAAAACGTAAGGGGTACCACTGTCGTTTTTTTTTTCGGGCCGAATTTTTGAGTTTCGATATCTCAGCTCTGGAAGGGGCTAGAGCCTCCATTTTTGCACTCAGGTCTAAGTCTCATGGCCCTCTATCAGAATTTGGGAAGATTGGAGAAACTTAATTTTTCGCCCAAAAAAAAAACGTAAGGGGTACCACTGTCGTTTTTTTTTCGGGCCGAATTTTTGAGTTTCGATATCTCAGCTCTGGAAGGGGCTAGAGCCTCCATTTTTGCACTCAGGTCTAAGTCTCATGGCCCTCTATCAGAATTTGGGAAGATTGGAGAAACTTAATTTTTCGCCCAAAAAAAAAACGTAAGGGGTACCACTGTCGTTTTTTTTTCGGGCCGAATTTTTGAGTTTCGATATCTCAGCTCTGGAAGGGGCTAGAGCCTCCATTTTTGCACTCAGGTCTAAGTCTCATGGCCCTCTATCAGAATTTGGGAAGATTGGAGAAACTTAATTTTTCGCCCAAAAAAAAAACGTAAGGGGTACCACTGTCGTTTTTTTTTCGGGCCGAATTTTTGAGTTTCGATATCTCAGCTCTGGAAGGGGCTAGAGCCTCCATTTTTGCACTCAGGTCTAAGTCTCATGGCCCTCTATCAGAATTTGGGAAGATTGGAGAAACTTAATTTTTCGCCCCAAAAAAAAAAACGTAAGGGGTACCACTGTCGTTTTTTTTTCGGGCCGAATTTTTGAGTTTCGATATCTCAGCTCTGGAAGGGGCTAGAGCCTCCATTTTTGCACTCAGGTCTAAGTCTCATGGCCCTCTATCAGAATTTGGGAAGATTGGAGAAACTTAATTTCGCGCCAAAAAAAAAACGTAAGGGGTACCACTGTCGTTTTTTTTTCGGGCCGAATTTTTGAGTTTCGATATCTCAGCTCTGGAAGGGGCTAGAGCCTCCATTTTTGCACTCAGGTCTAAGTCTCATGGCCCTCTATCAGAATTTGGGAAGATTGGAGAAACTTAATTTTTCGCCCAAAAAAAAAACGTAAGGGGTACCACTGTCGTTTTTTTTTTCGGGCCGAATTTTTGAGTTTCGATATCTCAGCTCTGGAAGGGGCTAGAGCCTCCATTTTTGCACTCAGGTCTAAGTCTCATGGCCCTCTATCAGAATTTGGGAAGATTGGAGAAACTTAATTTTTCGCCCAAAAAAAAAAACGTAAGGGGTACCACTGTCGTTTTTTTTTCGGGCCGAATTTTTGAGTTTCGATATCTCAGCTCTGGAAGGGGCTAGAGCCTCCATTTTTGCACTCAGGTCTAAGTCTCATGGCCCTCTATCAGAATTTGGGAAGATTGGAGAAACTTAATTTTTCGCCCAAAAAAAAAAACGTAAGGGGTACCACTGTCGTTTTTTTTTCGGGCCGAATTTTTGAGTTTCGATATCTCAGCTCTGGAAGGGGCTAGAGCCTCCATTTTTGCACTCAGGTCTAAGTCTCATGGCCCTCTATCAGAATTTGGGAAGATTGGAGAAACTTAATTTTTCGCCCCAAAAAAAAAACGTAAGGGGTACCACTGTCGTTTTTTTTTCGGGCCGAATTTTTGAGTTTCGATATCTCAGCTCTGGAAGGGGCTAGAGCCTCCATTTTTGCACTCAGGTCTAAGTCTCATGGCCCTCTATCAGAATTTGGGAAGATTGGAGAAACTTAATTTTTCGCCCAAAAAAAAAACGTAAGGGGTACCACTGTCGTTTTTTTTTTCGGGCCGAATTTTTGAGTTTCGATATCTCAGCTCTGGAAGGGGCTAGAGCCTCCATTTTTGCACTCAGGTCTAAGTCTCATGGCCCTCTATCAGAATTTGGGAAGATTGGAGAAACTTAATTTTTCGCCCCAAAAAAAAAACGTAAGGGGTACCACTGTCGTTTTTTTTTCGGGCCGAATTTTTGAGTTTCGATATCTCAGCTCTGGAAGGGGCTAGAGCCTCCATTTTTGCACTCAGGTCTAAGTCTCATGGCCCTCTATCAGAATTTGGGAAGATTGGAGAAACTTAATTTTTCGCCCAAAAAAAAAACGTAAGGGGTACCACTGTCGTTTTTTTTTTCGGGCCGAATTTTTGAGTTTCGATATCTCAGCTCTGGAAGGGGCTAGAGCCTCCATTTTTGCACTCAGGTCTAAGTCTCATGGCCCTCTATCAGAATTTGGGAAGATTGGAGAAACTTAATTTTTCGCCCAAAAAAAAAAACGTAAGGGGTACCACTGTCGTTTTTTTTTCGGGCCGAATTTTTGAGTTTCGATATCTCAGCTCTGGAAGGGGCTAGAGCCTCCATTTTTGCACTCAGGTCTAAGTCTCATGGCCCTCTATCAGAATTTGGGAAGATTGGAGAAACTTAATTTTTCGCCCCAAAAAAAAAAAACGTAAGGGGTACCACTGTCGTTTTTTTTTTCGGGCCGAATTTTTGAGTTTCGATATCTCAGCTCTGGAAGGGGCTAGAGCCTCCATTTTTGCACTCAGGTCTAAGTCTCATGGCCCTCTATCAGAATTTGGGAAGATTGGAGAAACTTAATTTTTCGCCCAAAAAAAAAAACGTAAGGGGTACCACTGTCGTTTTTTTTTTCGGGCCGAATTTTTGAGTTTCGATATCTCAGCTCTGGAAGGGCTAGAGCCTCCATTTTTGCACTCAGGTCTAAGTCTCATGGCCCTCTATCAGAATTTGGGAAGATTGGAGAAACTTAATTTTTCGCCCAAAAAAAAAACGTAAGGGGTACCACTGTCGTTTTTTTTTTCGGGCCGAATTTTTGAGTTTCGATATCTCAGCTCTGGAAGGGGCTAGAGCCTCCATTTTTGCACTCAGGTCTAAGTCTCATGGCCCTCTATCAGAATTTGGGAAGATTGGAGAAACTTAATTTTTCGCCCAAAAAAAAAACGTAAGGGGTACCACTGTCGTTTTTTTTTTCGGGCCGAATTTTTGAGTTTCGATATCTCAGCTCTGGAAGGGGCTAGAGCCTCCATTTTTGCACTCAGGTCTAAGTCTCATGGCCCTCTATCAGAATTTGGGAAGATTGGAGAAACTTAATTTTTCGCCCCAAAAAAAAAACGTAAGGGGTACCACTGTCGTTTTTTTTTTCGGGCCGAATTTTTGAGTTTCGATATCTCAGCTCTGGAAGGGGCTAGAGCCTCCATTTTTGCACTCAGGTCTAAGTCTCATGGCCCTCTATCAGAATTTGGGAAGATTGGAGAAACTTAATTTTTCGCCCAAAAAAAAAACGTAAGGGGTACCACTGTCGTTTTTTTTTTCGGCCGAATTTTTGAGTTTCGATATCTCAGCTCTGGAAGGGGCTAGAGCCTCCATTTTTGCACTCAGGTCTAAGTCTCATGGCCCTCTATCAGAATCCAGAGTTTTGGGAAGATTGGAGAAACTTAATTTTTCGCCCAAAAAAAAAAACGTAAGGGGTACCACTGTCGTTTTTTTTTTCGGGCCGAATTTTTGAGTTTCGATATCTCAGCTCTGGAAGGGCTAGAGCCTCCATTTTTGCACTCAGGTTTAAGTCTCATGGCCCTCTATCAGAATTTGGGAAGATTGGAGAAACTTAATTTTTCGCCCCAAAAAAAAAACGTAAGGGGTACCACTGTCGTTTTTTTTTTCGGGCCGAATTTTTGAGTTTCGATATCTCAGCTCTGGAAGGGGCTAGAGCCTCCATTTTTGCACTCAGGTCTAAGTCTCATGGCCCTCTATCAGAATTTGGGAAGATTGGAGAAACTTAATTTTTCGCCCCAAAAAAAAAAAACGTAAGGGGTTTTTCCATTCCAACCATTCCCAACCATTTCAGAATGAATGTGAAAAAGGGAAAACACATCCAGTATGTTGATGGTAGAGGTCAGAGGAGAAATGGCCGACTGATTCAAGCTGATAGAAGAGCAACTTTGACTGAAATAACCACTCGTTACAACCGAGGTATTCAGCAAAGCATTTGTGAAGCCACAACACGCACAACCTTGAGGTGGATGGCCTACAACAGCAGAAGTCCTCACAGTGCAAATTGGAAAAAGAGGCTACAATTTGCAAGAACTCACCAAAATTGGACAGTTGAAGACTGGAAAAATGTTGCCTGGTCTGATGAGTCTCTATTTCTGTTGAGACATTCAGATGGTAGAGTCAGAATTTGGCGTAAATAGAATGAGAACATGGATCCGCCATGCCTTGTTACCACTGTGCAGGCTGGTGGTGGTGGTGTAATGATGTGGGGGGATGTTTTCTTGGCACACTTTAGGCCCCTTAGTGCCAATTGGGCATCGTTAAATGCCACAGCCTACCTGAGCATTGTTTCTGACCATGTCCATCCCTTTATGGCCACCATGTACCCATCCTCCGATGGCTACTTTCAGCAGGATAATGCACCATGTCACTCGAATCATTTCAAATTGGTTTCTTGAACATGACAACGAGTTCACTGTACTAAAATGGCCCCACAGTCACCAGATCTCAACCCAATAGAGCATCTTTGGGATGTGGTGGAATGGGAGCTTCGTGCCCTGGATGTGCATCCCACAAATCTCCATCAACTGCAAGATGCTATCCTATCAATATGGGCCAACATTTCTAAAGAATACTTTCAGCACCTTGTTGAATCAATGCCACGTAAAATTAAGGCAGTTCTGAAGGCGAAAGGGGGTCAAACACAGTATTAGTATGGTGTTCCTAATAATCCTTTAGGTGAGTGTGTATATGTATATACACATATAACTGTGTATAGAATACATACATGTGTAACATTAGAAAAATATATACAGTGTATATTCGTATGCAATGCAAAAAAAAAAAATCTAAAGAAAGAAAAAGTTTTATTTGCACATGACTTTCAGGCACTAACAGCTCTGTTGTTCATGTTCTATTCTGGATTCAGGCTACAGTTTATGTGTCCATTCATAACATTTGGTCCATCCAATCAGAACTCAATATCCCAGCCAGACTCTTCATCAGGGGGCGGCTCATCTGTGTCCTCAGAGAAACAGTCGAAATTACTTGTGTCCAAAGGCCCATCCACCTGCAGCAAACAAACAGTATAGGTTTATTTAGGATTATGTGGGATAGTTGAATTTGAATATTTTTGAGGTTGACTCAACTAAAAGAAATTAGGAGTGTTGACATCCATTCTGACCGTGTATTTTGGGTATCCTCCAAGTTAGTGTTTAAATAAATAAAAGTCCATGAAATGATTTGGCTAAAGAATCTCTTACATTTGGTATAAATGGAGGAGCCAAGGTTCCTTCCCGAATACCATCCCAGTTAAACCCCTCAAACCATCTGCAAGAGAGATCAAATCACCGCCCCAATATCATGACTAATTTAGTCTTAAAATAAATGCAGTATTGTGTAAATGTAGCGACAAAGTCAGAGCATGTCATCTATACTTGTGTTTCTGGATGTCCTTCACGCCGTTCTTCTGGTTGCCGAGTCTCTCAGATGGATTGTCCCTGTCAGGATAAACACATATGCAAACATGACAAGGCTGTTTTTTTTTTATCTATTAAGCAGTGTGTAATTTCGTCAACATCATAATAAGGCCGTTCCACTGAGAAAACGATAACGTTAAGGTGCACCAGAATAAAATAATATAATTATTCAAATTAAATAGTTGTAGCTGACAAATTCAGTTAAATCACAACTTTTTCAAAAAGTGAATCGCTACTTTTTCAAATTGAATCAGTACTTTTTTTGAAAAGAATCAATACTTAAAAAATTGCTAATTTTTCAAAAAAAGAATCGATACTTTTCAAAAATGAATCGCCACTCTTTTAAAATGAATCGCTACTTTTTCTCTAAAAAAAATTGGTATTTTTTTCAAGAAGAATCGCTACTTTTTAAAAATAAACATCAACAAATGAATAACAATAATAATTGTGTTAAATAACACTGTAGTAGACATGTAAAACACTGTAATAAACATGTAATTACATTGTATTAAACCAGCAGTCCGTAGCTTATTTTAGGTTAAAAATGATCCAAAATCGAAAACAAGGATACATATAGGAAGGACATTATATGTAGTCACGCAATGCTTGCTGACGTTGTAACATTAACAATTTGAGAACAAAGTATTATTGTACGGTTTTGCGTAATATGATAACTTATAAGCAATTGTTAAATTAATCAGCGCAATTTACTGCAATGTCAGAACCAGAGGAAAACTGGATATTTCTTACTTGTTCAGATAACATTTTCCAGGGAAAAATTCTTATGTTGGTCATACTTCTAAAAAAGAATAATCTTTGATTCTGAATGCCAGTATCCACACCGGTGTGGCGACTGACAGCTGCACACTCTCCTCAAACACTGAGTTTTCCGCACGGTGCTGTGTCGAGGGTCTTGAAGTACAACTCACGTAAAGTTGATAATTCCGCAAATGACTTCAATTGCAGATTTCGAACAGAGATGGCGACAAAGAGGAAAAATGCTGGACTGCCACTTTAAAAAGTATAATTACATTGTAAAAAATTTATAAAACTGTAACAAATGCAAAATTATTTTTTAAACTACTTTTTCCAAAAAGAATCGCTACTTTTTCCTAAAGGAATCGCGATTTTTCAATAAGAATCATTACTTTCTGAAAAGGAATCTTTACTTTATTCAAGAAGAATCGCTACTTTTTCCTAAAAGAATCGTTATTTTCTGAAAAGGAATCACTACTTTTTTCAAGAAGAATCACTACTT